CCATTCTGTTTTGCCATTACTTTCCCATCTTTTCTTTCTGCGGCAAAATTGTATTCTCTTGGTTTTGAACCAAATAAAAAATTCTTTTTTAACTAGCAGGATTCCAAGAAATTGCTTCTTGTACAGCATTTGAGTCCTCAGTCAATATGCATTGATAGGTCTGCACTGTAACATTCATTGCTAAAATCAAGATATTTTGACTAATAGACATATCTCTGAAGCTTCTGTTGTATAATGATTAATGTAGAATCATAAAAATGTGCTCTCTCTAATAGCTTAAGCTTTTAGATGAGATGGTCACACACTTCAACAAAATTTATGTTATTTTATCACAAAATTGTCTTTTTGTCGGAAAAAAATGAATAAATACACTGGGGGATAAATTATGTTAACCTTGTCATAGAATATGGTCTAATATAAATGTCATGGTGAATTTTATTCATGATGAAGTTGTAAAGACTTTTCGTGGTGAAATTATTCAGATGCATGATCTCCTGCGATTCTATGTTGATCACTGTTGACCTCTTTTTGGTCTTTAAACTGCAGTGCCTCTTATGTTCTATGGGTTGCAGCACTATTTGTCATTGGCTGGTTCACTTATTTTTATCCCTCTGATTACTGTTCCCACCATGGGTGGAAGTGATGTGAGTTGTTTCTTATGAACTTACAACTTGAATTACAGTAGTATATGGTTAGCAAGTTTTTCGTTGTTCTCATTGATTTCTCTTTCCATGTGGTGACAGAAAGACACTGCCGATGTGGTTTCCACAATGCTGCTAGTGTCTGGCCTTACCACAATACTGCACTCATATTTTGGCACCCGTCTGCCATTAGTTCAAGGGAGTTCCTTTGTATATTTGGCTCCTGCATTAGTTATCATGAATTCTGAGGAGTACCGGAATCTTGCTGATCATGTAAGTTAAAAATGAAATTATCCTAGTGAGACTTTGTTTAGGTAAAAAAAATTTATATATCAGTCGAGGGTCAACTGGAAACAACATCTCTACCCCTCAATATTGACTGCACGTGAAATTCTATATATATTTACATGTTCTTGTAATAGATGATGGTTTTTTGTTGATGGAAACTTTTCGGGTGTCCACAGAAATTTAGGTACATAATGAGGGAGTTACAAGGAGCTATAATTGTTGGATCAATTTTCCAGAGCTTCTTGGGTTACAGTGGCTTGATGGCCCTTTTTCTACGGTACTATTTGAGCACTTTACTCATTATCCTTCTTGACCAGCCCCCGTTTTGTGTATTTCCTTGTAGGAGCTTGTATTTCACAAATATGACTTTCTTGATCAGTCTTTTAGTTCTGTTTGTAAGACTCTTCCAAGAATTAATCAATATGTTTTAAGAACATATCCTGCAGGTTAGTAAATCCCGTTGTGGTCGCACCAACAGTAGCTGCAGTGGGTTTAGCATTTTTTAGCTATGGCTTTCCACAAGCTGGTAGTTGTGTAGAAATCAGCCTTCCTCAGATACTGCTTATCCTTATTTTTACCTTGGTAGGTAGCTGTATGAATGTTTTATGATCATAAGTTTTGTTTTTGGTATACGACTTGTATACAGGAATTTTTCCGTTTATTTAGTGAAATCTTTCTTACTTGATAGAATTTAAAAAAATGCTTTGTATTGGCATGGATAAGATATTCTCTTAAATATCAGATGATGAGCTGATTTTCAGCTATGTTGCTCAGACTCTCCAAAAATACTTACACACTCGTGACCGTGTCGGATCCTCCAAAAATACACTACTTTTGGAGGATCCGACACACCTGTCGACATTTTTGAAGAGTCCGAGCAACATAGATTTTCAGTGTCTCACTTCTGAGCTCTAATATATTTTTTTTTTCTTTCACTAACTATGTTCTGTCATTTCTCTTTACAGTACCTTGGAGGAATATCCATTTTTGGTTACAGAGTGTTTCGTATATATGCTGTACGTATTTTCTGCTCTTCCTCTTATTTTTCTCTTTGAATATTTTCTTTTTGGGAGGTGGGAGGGTTTTTGGAGACGGGAGCCTCCGAACAAGATAATAGTAGTGGATTTAGTTCCAAGACCTTTCTTATGGAGAACTCTTTTGGGAGATGTATTATGATTTTTCAGCTACTATGGAAACTATCATTACGTGTTCATCTATTTTCTAACGAACAAAAAGAATTATTGCAGGTCCCTGTTAGTGTTATGATCATTTGGGCGTATGCGTTTTTCCTGACAGCTGGTGGTGCATATAACTTCAAGGGTTGTAACCCCGACATACCAAACTCCAACATCCTTATCGATGCTTGTCAAAAGCATGCAGATACAATGAGGCATTGTAGGACTGATGTCTCCAATGCTATGAGAACTGCTGCCTGGGTCAGGATTCCTTACCCTTTGCAATGGGGTATACCGACCTTCCGGTTACGGACTTCAATCATTATGGTTATTGTGTCGCTAGTTGCTTCCATTGACTCGGTGAGTAAGCAGTGACCTGTGTAAATGTGTCATTTATGGTATCCAAATCATTCTAGTTAAGTGTGTCACCAACATGAGGTCTCATTTTCACAATTTGGCATTTTTGGCATATCATCGTCTTTTATAATTTATTATTAGAGGAAAAGGAATCTTACTCTTCTGTTCTCTATGCTGACCGATTGCATTTCAGCAGCAAGATTTAAAAAAGAAAAACTTCCTTCTTTGTTGTTTTTGGTTCCTGTAAAATCTTTCTTGTTGCTTTTAGATAAGATCGAAGGGTTAAAAACGCACCTAAATTATCTTGTTTTATCAAGTTCCCTACTTGAACTGTCACCAAATGTTTATCGAAACACATTTGGTCTAGTCAGGGTCGAGGTGTGTTTCGATGAACATTTGGTGATAGGTAGGAAATTCGCACACTTGATAGTTCAGGTATGAAACTCGAAAAATTGGGATACTTTAGGTGTGTTTTTGATCCTTCACTCTTAAAAAGAAAAAAACCTGTCTTTGACTAGTCTTACCATCTGTCATAATTCAAAGACCAATTATTGATTAAGATTTGCACATTGTAGATTGGAAATTATCACTCCGCCGCAATACGAATCAATTTGAAACCCCCAACCCCAGGTATAGTCAGCAGGGGGATTGGTCTGGAAGGTTTCTGTAGTGTTTTGGCTGGACTTTGGGGAACGGGTACTGGGGCAACAACTTTGACAGAGAATCTACACACGATCAATGCAACGAAAGTAGCAAACCGAAGGGCTGTACAGCTTGGAGCAGCACTTTTAATCCTATTCTCCTTTGTAGGTATGATTTAATGAAGACTAACTCTTCATTGAAGCAGGAAAAAGCTTATCCTATCCCTTTTTTTTTTCTAGTTAGCACTCCCTCCGTTTCAATTTGTTTGTCTTACTTTTCTTTTTAGTCCGCTTTTGTGGAAATTTCTTTACTTGTTAGATGAATGGAAAGGCATTGCAAGATTTTCTCCGTCTCCATCCCCTTTTACAATACTATACTGGTCCATGAATTTTGTTAATAAATGTTAAACCCGAAATACAGATTCCTGCTATTTGGCAGTTCAACCATAAAGAAGATTCTCATCAATGGAACATGTAGCATTGTTCAAATAAATTCAGTGGCGGAGCTAGAGTAGTTAGTAGCTTTGGTCCAATCCTGTATTTGTCTTAAAAAATACATTGCATATGTACAAATTATTAATTTAGAACCTAATAACTTAAAAGAACTAGAATCCCGAACCCATAGGCTTCAAAGTTTTAAGTTCTTTGTTTCATATATCTTACTGCCTAGACGATGTATCCTTGAAAACATCTTTGAATAGCTGGCAAATTCATTAGCAGAGACATGTAACCTCTGATTTTCTTAACTGATATGGTAGGTAAAATTGGTGCCATTCTTGCTTCTATACCACAAGCATTAGCAGCTGCGGTACTATGCTTCACATGGGCTCTTATTGTTGCTCTGGGACTATCTACATTACAGTATACACAAAATGCAAGTTCCCGAAACATTATAATTGTTGGTGTATCCTTGTTCTTTGGTTTGTCGGTCCCCGCTTATTTTCAGCAGTATGCACCAGAGACCGGCCTAATCTTGCCTGGCTATCTAATTCCTTATGCAGCAGCATCCAATGGACCAGTACATACCGGGAATGCACAAGTGAGTTTATCTTAAAGACTTCTGTTATTGTCCTTTAGTTAAATGTGTACTATCACATGAAGTCGTCATTCTAAAATCTAGAACCCATAAAGTTGAAATCCTGACTCCACCTCTGATTGCACACAATTTGGTATAACATGGAATTTGTGTACAAGAACGGAATTCTATAAAAAAAATGTACTTTTTACTCAATTTTCCTTCTTAATTTCCATGAATTTGCAACGAACTTACGTCTGGTTTCTTCCTTATGTTGTTGTCAGTTCAATTTTGCAATGAATGCACTTCTGTCCTTGAACATGGTGGTCACACTATTAGTGGCATTCGTATTAGACAACACCGTCCCTGGAAGCAGACAAGAACGAGGAGTGTACGTTTGGTCAAAGGCTGAAGACATTATGACAGATCCTTCTTCCCTGTTAGACTACTCGTTACCGAGTAGAGTAGCAAGGTGTTTCCACTGGGCTAAATGTGTCGGCACATGACGAAATGCAAAAGAAAAAAACTTGTTTTTGCTTCATGCCAAACTTCAGGGAAGAAACTTATTGTTATTCAAAGCATAGCTTAGAAAGAGTATAGCTAAAATAGGTGAAAGGTACATACATATTTTACCAAAATATAGCATTATATGGGGCAATCCCATATATATTCAACTGTTAATCAATTCTTCTTCTATAGAAATGTAAGTTGTTTTTTTGGTTATGATGAATGGAAGCATTTTATTGAAATACTCTTGTAGGTTCTTGTTCTTTCGATTTCTGTTAGTATCTATTGTCCCTTGTAATTCGTTTATCGTATTAAGGGTAGAAAGGCAGGTCCATTATGCACCGAGTTTCAAACCATGCACCAATGACACTCGGGATATCTCAGTTAAGTTATAAAACTATATGATTGGTATTCTTGATACATTCAGCAGTAAACAACTTGTCAAAGATGATTCTGAGACCATGTTTACTCTAAAATCTAAGAGACTTTGAGTTCTCTTGTTGCTGTTGCTACCTTTATTAGTCTTCTCCTGCATGTACAAAATCCTACGAACTTTCATATCAACTCTCTCTATCTGTCTATCTATCGATCTATCTATCTGGTAGAAGTTGATCATCTCTTTTGTGAGTCTTGGATCAGAGCACGTAAACTATGATTCGGAGTGAGAAGATTGCCCTTGAGTCTTAAATTTGTCATTGGTGATGTATCTCTTCCATTCTTTAGCCATTCCTCTATAGCTTCTAGCTCATATGAAAATCCATCAGCTGCAACATGTGGATTCTTCATCACTTCCTGCAACAACAAAAGAAACAATTTTGTCAATCAAACACCAGAAAATGACTCTTGCTCGTACCAAAGACACCCTTAAAATGTTGGATAGACGACAACAAGTGGGGTCTGAGGAGGGTGGTGTGGATGCAGCCTTACCCCTACTTTATGAGGATAGAGAGGTTGTTTCTGATAGACTCAGTTCAAGTAAAGCATAACAAAATAGACAACGAACCTGTAAAATGGGGCAAAGGAAGAAATTAGGAAACTCTGTTGAGTCTTCATGATCATCTAGATTTCTTCCATTTGCCACAACACATTCACCATTTGCTACTATTTCATCGGCTAACTTCTTCACTTTCTCCATCTCTCTTGCCAAATTAGTCATGTTCAACTCCTTGTCTTCATGAATAGACAAACACTTTATTCCAATTCTACCAAGCTCCAGTGCTATATCCAATGGCCACTCTCCGGCCATTGGATCAAGCACTTCAATAAGCTTACTCTGGTCCATCATAATCGCCTCCTCAACCAGCCCGGCCCAGTTTCTTCCGGTCAGAATCTGTAAGACTAAGTTCCCATAAGCCCGGATATCTGATCTTAAATCCGATTTGTCACATGACAGAGGCATCCTAACATCATAGATTTTCGCTATATTGTTACAATCAAGAAGGATTTTTGAAGGGTTGAGGTTGCCATGAGCCACGGGCCTTGGCTTGGCCCGGTGGAGGAAGCACAAGCCTGTACAAACATTGGCTACAATACATATCCTAGCTTGCCAGTTTAGGCCATAATTTCTCCTTTTAGAGCCTCTGGTGCCTGAGAAGAGAATGTCTCTTAAGCAACCATTGTTCATATACTCGAAAACAATGCACCTTAGCTCAGAGCAATATCCGATCATCGATAGCATATGAGGATGCCTCATATGGCTCAAGAACTTCACCTGCATCAGAATTTTTCGGATTTCAGACATGTCATGTTACTATTTTCATGATATCGTTAATTTATGGAAAAAGGGTCAAACATACCCCTCTACTACACGAAATATCCTAATTTTACTCTCTGTCATACTTCGGAGCTACTCATACCTTTGCCATTAGCATATCATCTCGTATTTTCCCTTGACTCTAACAGAGCTCCAACTTGAAGTACAACGGAGGGTATATAATTTTAAACCATAGTCAAAAGTATTTTGACACGTGGAATTCTACCGGTTTAATTGCAACTAAAGAAATGAGTGTTGAATTACCTTAGCTAGAAAGGTGTCTTCAGAATCAACATCAGCAGAACTATACAGTTTGATTGCAACTGATGTGTGATGAAGCTTAGCTTTATACACATCAGTCCAATCACCACCAGATTTCAACCTCATAAGATTCGAAAATCCATCCGTGGCTGTTCTAATTTCTGCAGCACTGAACTCCTTGTACTTGAGCCTCGGTTCAATCAGCATTGAAGCATTACCTATCGCGTCTTTTTCTCTACAAAACGTTATCCTTCTTCGTAGAACATCTCTTTGCCCTCTAAACTCCTCAATCTCCTTAACTGTATCCATTCTCTGCTTCAATACTTTTTCCAATTGAACCTCAGCACGCGATCTTGCCACAGAAGACAGCTGCATCTTGGTAGATACCTCGTGTTGTAGTTCAAGAATCGAGCTGAGTTTACTCTTCGTGACCTCTACTTCCGTGTGAAGTTCATTCAGCTCGTCTTTTGTAGCATCTAACTCTCTCTTTAGATCAGGCTTTCGCGCGAGTTCATCATTTATGCAACCATCAATTTCCTCAGCCTATATATACAACAAACTGTTAAAGTATGTAAATTTGCAAAATGAAACTAGCTATTAAGTATAACATGTCCAAGGACGTGGTCTAATGATCAATGAAATGAACTGAGAACCATATAAGGTCTCGAGGTTCAAATCTCATTTGTCTTAGCCTTGGGGGACAGAGTTACCTGATACCTGTACTGGTGGGAGGTATCTGGTACCCGTGGAATTAATCGTGGTGCGTAAAACCGTAACACTTACTCTTCTAGTACATAAAGTGATAGCCCATTGAGCCTTAGCTTGTCCTTCAACATGAGATTTTGCTTCTTCTCTGCTTAGTTGTATTGCTTCTTTAATCTCCAAAATTTTGATTCTCAAAGCTTCTTTCTTTTCTTGCATAGTCTAATAACAAAAAAACTCAAAAACTCATTACAAAAAACCCCAATGTAATTAGAATATTAAACTTTATGCACTTAAAAATTGGCCTAACGGTCAATAAAGTCACTAAGAAACATAGGAAGTTCTGATTCAAATCTCAACAAAGACAAGATACGTTAACGATTTCTTTTCATCTGCTTAAAACTTGGTGACATAGTCATTCATCATTTGCGATGGTGAGAGATAGCAGGTATCTAAATGAATAGTCGAGGTACACAAGTTAGACCAGACAACCCATCATAAAATAAACAGATTATAACTAGTTTGCGCTCTCACTATCATGAAAATTCTCATGTCAAATTAAGCATGAAATTAATAAATTTAAAATAAAAACAAATAAAGAAATTAAAAGAAAGCCAAAGTTGACTTGTCAAAGAATAAAAACCCCTTTAGCAACTACTCCAACTAATCATAGCCACATAATTTATTGAGATTAACTTTTATCTTCAAATATCTGTTCGATTTACTAAGAAGATAACTATAGATAAACGTCTATAAAAAGTTTAATGTGAGTTATCTTGTACAACAAGTTAAAATACATAAATAATATAAAAAGGTATTAACACATACCATATTTTCTGCCATAACAAGCTCTGTAATGATGTTCTTGTGGAGAATCTCATCAGCAACAAAATCATCAATTTCTTCAAAATTTGAAGATAATAATTGACACATATAATTATCAATTTCTTTTTTATATTTTTCCCATTTATCAAATTCAACAATATTACTTGTTGATGATGATAATAAATCACTTTGATTTTTCAACAATTTTGAACTATTTTCAGGAAACATTTTTATAACCAAATCTCTAAAACTTTGTCTCATTGATCTTGATTTAGCAACCATAATTCCTTGATCATCTTCAATTAATCCTTCATTGTTTCCTTCTCTTAGAAAAACCAATTTCCCTCCACATATAATAAATAATTCACAAAATTCTGGCTTTTGTCTATGCACAAAAAATGATCCACTTATAGCACTTCTTGATTTCCTATAAAACAACAATTCACACAAAAAAAATATTAAAAAATGATTTAAAATATTTATAAAAAAAAGGGTTTTTTTTTTTTTGGTACCATGATGAAGGTTTCATGAAAGTCAATGATATGACTAATTTGTTTATCTTAAGACCATAGATCAAATCCACCATGAATTTTTGAATCGATTCATCATATCTTTCAATCTTGATTGCTTCAACTTTCACCTATACAAACAAAAAAAGATTTTTTTAACATAAAGTTTTTATTAAAAAAAACAAACAAGAATTATCAAAAAATATATACATTTCCACAAAAAACTTTGTATCTCCAAAGTATTTTTTGATTTTTTGCTTCTTCTAACTTTTCAAGATCCTTCAATTTTTCTTCATTTACTGATCCTCTTGGTAGCTTTCCCACTATACAACAACAACAACAACTTTTAAAAAATGAAGAAAAGGGTGTTTAAATCAATCAAGAATTAAAAAAATAAAATAGAATTACACTTACTTGGCGTTACAACATAATCTTTACATATGTTATTAGAAGCATAAAGAATAACAATGGTGATTGAGTGAGAATTCCATCTTTTGAGTGCCCATTGTAAGGTTAAAAAACCATCATGTATATCTGAATTTATTGCTATATAAACCTTGTTATCCCTCTCCATCTCATTAGCCATGGCTAAGAAATTTAAAAAAACTATATATTATATTTGTGTGGTAATTTTATAAGTCATGACATATAGAAAGTATGGAGTGTGAAGCACATGTGAGGAGAAAGTATATATAGGTGGAAAAAAATAACCTATGGTTTTTTTTAAAGATTTTGTGTGTGATTTCTTGAGGGGAAGATTTTTAAAAGGAAAGTGAATAGGATTATTTGGGTTTTATATATTGATGTGTTAAGACTCAAGACAACTAGTTTTGGTCTACTTTTTTTGTTTTTTGGTTAGTAACATTTTTGGTCCCTTGATTATTGATGAATTTTGATTTAGATTCTTATGATATTTGACTGAGCATATTTGATTGAAAGTTTGTTGAAATATGCACTTTAGATCCGATTGTTTTGATGTTTGTCTTTAGAAAACAACGTCTCTCACTCGGAAGGTAAGGATAAAGTCGGTGTATACTCATTCGAAAGGTAAGAATAAAGTCGGTGTATATTCGATTCTTTTTTTGACTCCATTTATGGAATTATATTGAATATGTTGTTTTTGTGAATCTTTGCAAATTTGTCATGATTATCAATTGTTCCACTAATTTCAACATACTCATGGCTAAATCGATCGGTTTTAGATCAAACAGAAGGAAGGAACTAGAAGATTCCACTTCTGGAAAACGCCTACACACCCCATCTACCTTTTGGTGCTCCGTCTCTCAAGATTACAATCCTTATCAAATCGGAGAAGAATGAATAATGAGTCATGGAATCGGACGTCGGTTTTACTTATATGTTAAATTTATAACGGTACTCTATATTAGGCAATAATATAATTTTAAAAATAGACTAAATATAACATATTCAAAGAGGACCAAAAGCACTCATTTTAATAATGCTAAATTGCTAATCATATATCATTTGGACTAAGAGTGCAATTTATTAATAACTTAGGGGGCCAATAATGCTATTATCTTTTAATTTTGGACTTTTTAGTTTAGGATTTTAGCCGGTGATAGCAAAGATGGGGCCATATTGACTGGTACTTGATTTTGAATTTTGAGATTTAGAAAATTTCTAGGATATTACCATACGCCTCGTTTGGTTGATGAACAAGTTATTATATGATTATTTATATCGAAACTAATTATTTTAGAATTGTTATATGATAAAAATAATATTATAATTCTAAAATAATTAATTCTAAAATAAGTTATACCATAATTTTATCCTAATCAAACATGAGACGACAAATATTAATTGGCAGCATGTTCAATCAAATGGGTGATTTCACTCCGATTATGAATTCCAACTACCCCATAAACTGAAAAGTGAAAATTCATTCATTTCAAAATTAATTATTCTTTATTCTTCGTGTCAAACGAGCCCTTCTATTAAAAGGATTTTATTCGTAATTAACATTTATTGTGATTAGTTAAAAGGAAAAAAAGGAGATTGGCTCTATGACGTTTGATATATAATGCATATCCGAGGATATTCTTTGCGGGTAATTTACACTAAATATTAATTAATGAAAACTACACTTTTATATTTTGGTGTGAGTTGTGACTACAAAGACAAGTCAACTTTTTGTTGTCAGGACAATTTATCCATATCAGATATTTATACAAGATTAATAAAATACAAGATACATATTTTCCGTATATGTATTTATCACTTAATAGTAATGGTTATAACTAGAAATAAAGATTTTTTCTATCGCAAATCAGTAAAATATTTGTGTTATAGAACATGATTTTTTCAATCATTTGTCACCAAATCAGCTTACTAAGAAAATTCATGATGAAAAACATATTATACATATGAGTTTCATATCTCATCTATAGGTGCATTCACTATTTGATTTTATCCTAAATGCCAATAAAAGTTCGATTCTAACATATTTATCTATTATTTACTTTTACATTAGAAAGACGACAAAAAATTACTTTTTCTTTGTATTGTCGAATCATCGTAATTTAAGTTTGATTTAAAAATACTTATCTCTTGTTAATATCTTGTTGTTGATCATAAATAATAATCGAGTCTATCGTCTTTATATTTGACAATTTGTATTTACTTTTTTGGTAGAAAGCTGACAAAAAACATACTCTTTCATTGTATTGTAGGATCATCGGAAATTTAAGTTTGATTTTAAAATATTTATCTGTTATTAACATCTTGTCGTTGATCATAAATGATAATCGAGTTTATCGTCTTTACACTAGTAACTTTGTATTTACTTTTTCGATATAGAGATGACAAAAAGCATACCTTTTCTTTGTATATATTGTCGATTCATCAGTAATTTAAGTTTAATTTAAAAACATTTATCTTTTATTAATATCTACCTATCATAAACAGTATAATGATTGAATTTATGGTCTTTATATTTGTAAATTTGTATCGATATAGTTAATTTACTGTAATCACGAATTTACATGTGACATATTATAAAGTTTCAAAGTATTTTCGACTTGAAATTAATTTGCTCCCTTTTAGTAATGTTATTGTAACTAAAAGGGATTTGATATAAAATTAGAGGAGCATTTTTTTATCGGTTAAATAAAAAAAAATCAATAACATATTATTGATTAGGTTATCAGTTTAGCATGTTTACAAATCAAAAATTGGTAAACAAAATTGATAATATATAAAATCAAACCAAATCAACCGATAACCACCCTACATAAACTCCTACTTGTTAATGAATATCTTGTTCTACATTAATTACACAGTTTTTTTTGGGTGAAACACAATGTTATATTTTGTTCCTAATTTGCTCACATTATAATAAATGTAATGTAACGTTTTAAAACGCAGTAATATAATATTAAAATAACTTAGTTTAAAATCTTATAAACTTATTTTCTTAATTGTAAATGAATGTTAAGAATATGAGACCACTTAATATTTATTAGAAATATTTTAAGATTGCAAAGAACATCAAGGGGGTGTAGCTCATATGGTAGAGCGCTCGCTTCGCATGCGAGAGGCACGGGGTTCGATTCCCCGCACCTCCACTTTTCTTTTTTAAAAACAAATATTTTTTCTTAATTATTATTTCTTGGGTAACTAAATAATTTTACTCTTTTACCAATTTTAATATAGTCAAGTGCATTTATTTTTAGTATAAATTATAGGAACCACAAATTATAAGTACTAAATAACATCTTATCCCTTTTAGTTTTTTATTTACCAAAAATCCCTTAAAACTGTTGTTTGCGGGATACATAGCGTTGTGCACGGGATACATAAGATTTGAAACATTCCAGTTAATAGCTGTTGCGTTTCAGAAGAAAATAATAACGTAGATTTGATTTAATAACTATAAATCTCATAATTCACGCCTGATAGATTGTATACCTTCAATTCCATTATCTTGCAATGGAATGTATCATGTACACACATAATTAAAAATGTAAAGTATCATACACATAAAAATTTGATGTATACAAATCACACAAATAAACTGCAATGTATCATAATTACACTGGTATGTATCTTGTAATGGAATGTATCATATACACACATTTTATTTAGGCACACTGATATGTATAAATTACACAAATAAATAAAAAATTGATGTATACAAATCACACAAATAAACTGCAATGTATCATAATTACACTGGTATGTATCTTGTAATGGAATGTATCATATACACACATTTTATTTAGGCACACTGATTTTTTGGGGGTTTCTCCAACCTTTTTTTTTTTGTTAGACAACAATCTTGTCCTTCATTGCTAATGGGTCGTGCAATCGCTTGGATCTGTTCTTAGCCCACATTTCATCATCAGAATCATATATACGATTAGCCTTAGTATGAGAAACACCAACACTATCGGATGGACCATGTTCCATATGTATCAGTAAAAAGCACGAATAAGACAACAATGGAGAAACTTAGAAATCGGTACAGTTGAGAATACTCTTACTGAAAATCAAATTGATTTGAAATTTGTTAAGAAGTGGAGAGATTTTAGGGATGGAATAGAAGAGTTTAATTGTTAATGGGAAACGTGTGTGATGGCTGAAAAAAAGGAGTGAAATTTGTAATGG